GACCCTCCCCTGGGCCGGGCCGGGCCGGGCGGGGCGGCCGCGCCCACAGCCTCACCCACCCCCCGGGGGGTCCAGCCCCTCGGCACGAAGAGGGGTCGCGGTCCCCATCGCCCCGAAAAGTGTCGCTAAGGTCCGAGCTTCACTCCCTTCCAACCCAAACCAGTCTGGGGTTCTATAGTCAACAGGGATGGGGCAGGAGGGTCAAGTCTGAGGGTGACAGGGCTGAAGCACCTGGTACCTCTAATGTTCCTGGTAGCAGAGCACAGCTCACACACATTTCCGACCCCAGCATCACTGTGGGGGTGACTGTCCTGCCTCCCACCCCCGGGAATGAGCAACCGACCCCATCCAAACCCAAACCAGTCTGGGGTTCTATAGTCAACAGGGATGGGGCAGGAGGGTCAAGTCTGAGGGTGACAGGGCTGAAGCACCTGGTACCTCTAATGTTCCTGGTAGCAGAGCACAGCTCACACACATTTCCGACCCCAGCATCACTGTGGGGGTGACTGTCCTGCCTCCCACCCCCGGGAATGAGCAACCGACCCCATCCAGGCTGCAGCGGGTCATGCTGCATCCCCTCAGCCAGGACCCCAGAGAAGTGCCTGCATCCTGATTGTGTGGGAGAGCAGACCCCATTTCTTTTATCCTCGTGACCTCTCCTATAAAAGTTTTAGTCACAGTACAATCCCAAATTGTAGCACCTCTGCCCAAGCACCGCCTGTGCCTCCAGGGCTGCCTCTGCCACTGGTGATGGTATCTGCACGGACAGAAACCCAGCTTTTCAGAACCCAAAGTTGTGGGGTTTGTGAAGAAAGAGGCAGATTAGAAATGAGAAATGAAGCCACCTGACCCCTGAGAGGGGCAAGCTGGGTGGCACAGCTCCTGGGGTCTGTTGGAAGGGAGGCAACACCATTTCTCTCTAACCACACGAAAAGCAAGACTGAGGCATCTGATTTTCCCAGATCCCCCAAGAATCCAGCGGCTGGGGAGTCCCATCCCCATGTCCCCATCAGCCAGGCCCCGTTGGGACAGCCAGCAGTCACCATGGTGACAAGTGTCAATGACAGCGTTTTGCCATGGACCGTGGTGACCCCATTTTCTTTTCAGAGGACAGATTCCAGGGCTGGCTGCCAGCAGCATGCGGGGTCCAGCACGGGGGCTTCACCCCCCCAGGTCCAGAGCAAAGACTTTGGCCCCATTGCCCAGGGACGGGCTGTGATCCCGCTGCCCTTGGCGCTTAGACCTTGGACTGTGGATGGTCTGCTGGGCTGTAAACAAGCTGTCCCGAGAAGGTGGCTCTGTCGAAGTCTCTGAAAAACACAGTGGCCGCCCTGAGGACCACGCTCTCTGCAGGTAAGCTGATGAAAAATGTGTGTTTCCGTTATTTATTGACCAGCGAGGTGGATGCCTCCTTGGCTGGCGCTGCAGGGACAGCTGGGGGTGAGTCCCTGCAGCTGCAGGGAGATGAGGTGGCCTCGGTTCCAACTGGCTGGGGGTTATAAAACCACAGCAGATGGGAAGCAGCACGGCTCTGTCGGTGCTTTGCCGTCCCAATGACTCATCCCTCCATCCCAGCAAATGTCAGTCCCGCTGCGGGCTGCCGTTCACAGCAGAGATGCTGCACTTTACCTTATCCAAATAAAACTACGGGCTAGAATTTACTCATGCTGCCCAGAACCAGGTCTGGCACACTGCTGACATCCCTCTCCCAACCCACACACTGACGGCTCAGCATCCAGGGACGTGACACTGGAACAGGTTGCCCGGAGAAGCTGTGGCTGCTCCTCCCTGGAAGTGTTCAAGGCCAGGCTGGATGAGGCTTTGAGCAACCTGGTCTAGTGGAAGGTGTCCCTGCTGATGGCAGGGGGGTTGGGACTGGATGAGCTTTAAGGTCCCTTCCAACCCAAACCATTCTGTGATTCCATGGTTCTATGACCAGGCTGAGGTGATCTGTCCTTGTACCCCCAGCCCTTCCTCGAATTGGTCCTTGGCTGCTCTCTGCCCCGGTGGTCACTGCAGGGTTTTTGCCAGGCTGCAAGGCAGGAAAGCTTCATGGAGAGGGAAGAGCCAAGGGACCGAGGGGGCTGCAGACCCTCTTTGCAGCCGGTATTTACAAACAGCGGGTGCTGGGAAGGGTTTGGGGTGGTGGCACATCCACCCTCGTGTGCAGGCAGCCCCGTCCTTGCATGTGTCGCATCTGGCATCGCTCCCTGGAAAACACCTGCTGTTTCCAGTTTCTTTTATCCGTGCTCCCCTCTTCTGTCCCCAGCCTGTACCAGAGGATGGGGAGAACTAGGAGCTCCCCAGCGTGGGGCTGGGTCACACTGTCCCATGGGAGATGATGGTGTGAGTGGGTGCACTCACCTCTCCCTGGGTGCTCACCCTCAGGGTGCTGGGAAGGGGAAGGGAGTGGAGGATGCTGACGGCCGTGCCACTCCATCGTACTCTGTCCTGCTCTGCCACAGGGCACAGAGCAACTGTGACTCGTCCTGCCAAGCTGAGGAATGTGGCCATGGGCAGCTGAGCCCCAGCTTTTCTGCTCGCCATCGGCTACAGCTCACCCAAGGGTAGAGCCAGGGTTGCCACCCCAAGCACAAGGGCTGCAAGCAATGGAGAAACATTCCCCTGCCACCATGACAAACTACATCTCCCCATCCATGATTTCAGGGCCCTCAACACCACAGGCTGGTGTTGAAAAGGACCGTGGAGGCTTTACCAGGAACGCACACAAACGCACCAAGCTGCAGCTCAACCCCTTCCCTGCAGCCCAGCTCTGCTCCAGCAGCAGAGCTGG